TGTTTTTATTGTATCCTCCTTGCATTATTTGAGTGGTCATTTTTTTCTAAGAGATAATTATATTTTTCCATGACAGAATAGCCATGAGGGATACAAGTTATATCCGAATCACATAGAGTACGTTATAATGAAATTAGCTTCGATGTTTCCGGGAAGGCGCGCCGCTTGATTGCTACATGATGAAGGATCGACATAATTATTCCTGTAAGACATTGTTAAGGGTTAAAGTGGTAATTATTACGCCATTACATAGTTGAAATATTAGGCTCAAGTTGATGAAGCTTAAAGGAGTGGATACCCCGTAATTTAATTGAGAATATTGCCTGTAATTGCAGACAAGATCTAGTCGATCTCCTGAAGGTCTATAGCTACTTGTTTCTATTATTGTGTTTTACTGAACCCAAGCACAAATGCAATCATAATACAATATCCTTTATGTGAGATAAAAAAAAGAACTGGGACTTTTTCGATTCACTCTTTCCTTTTATTAAAATGCAAAATAAGTCCTTCAGTTCTAAGTAAAATCTTCTAAAGTTTGGAGTCAGCCAGTAAATGACTTTCTGAATGTTTCCACCTTGAAAATATATCTTTCATACGATTCAGTTCTTTTATAAAATTTTCCTCTGGCACTATACTTTTAAAAGTTGGTTAATTGGCATTTTTCTGACCGAGCGCTCAGAGTTATTGCTTGATATAAAGTGGAAGATGAGGCAAGATTGTTTACGTCCCAAAGAAACTAAATGGAACTGAAGCTGATTATGAGTGGGTGTTTGAAATGCTCAGCTTAAATATCACAGGAAATTTTGCTTTTTTTATATAAATTTAAAAAAATTAATTGAAACTGCTCAGCAAAATCAACGTTGCACAGACAGATGTGAGCCAACTCTGGTTGCTGTGAACAATTCTATTTCAGTTTGAAGTGTTATTTACTGCAATTACCTTTCCGTTAGTGTGTTTCTTCCAAAAATTGTGCTTCAGATAAAGTTTCTACAGAGTGCCAAATGAAGCAATGCATAATTGGTAAAAGTTCCACGTGTTCTCAGTTGGACAAAAACCATTTTTTGTATTTCAACACCACATAAATTATGCCAAATTTGGCCGTGTAAGGTTCATTTTGTTGAACAGTTTACAAAGTTTCCAAGTTTTGCTGCACACACGTTTAACTAGCTGAAGTCAAAAATAAAGTATTGGTTAAATTTCTGGTGACAAAGATCTATTGGCATGATCCTCAATTCTTCAAGAGGAGCCCCAATAAATATAAGTGAACAATTTTTCAGCCGAAAACAGGCTACAACCTCTTACCGAAGCAAGCGATTATTTATTCCTGAGAGCCAAGAAGCTCTGAGATGTTTTGGTGCATGGAATAATAACAGTTTGGGCTTCAAGTCATGCACAATTCAAGACATTTCTTCTCTTCTTAACGCTAATATCTAAGTTATAATATTAGTTTTGATTTGAAGAAATTTTTGTTGGTATGTACGGCTTCAATTTTCTAGAAAGTGCAATTATCAGACCTAATTTTATTCGATGAAGAACATAATTTAATATGTCGGTTTAAATATTAATTTACATGTTTAGTTTCATTCTATCAGTTATATTAGCAGTACAACCTTGTCTTACTTAAACTCTCTCAATTAATTTTTGAACGTTTGAACGAACCTGAACAAGTTTTTTTAAATCGCATAACATGCTTTTCTTCATAAAAACCTAACAGTGTTCAGAAACCCCATTCTACCAGCAATTTGAAGTAAACGTTTGGTTTTTAGGGGCATTTTCCGCTCATAATTTTAACAATTTTGGGTCAAAATGCCCTAGTAAACGCAAGGGTGTGGTTTATAGCGCCATAAAACTGATTGAGTTGAATCCAAAACACACCCAGCCAGTGAAACATTAACAGTATAAAGTTGGCCAGTGTATTAGATTGAAAAAAACTTTCTCAGAATAAAGCAGATTTTTTTTAAATATAAAGCAATGTTGACAACATAAAGCAACCCCTAAGTTCCCCAGATGAATTGTGAAAAAATAAATCAGGACAATGCGGTGTATTCTATTCATATGTTTCGATGGCACAGAGGCATTAAAGACGATAAAATCCCACTCTATCCCAAAATCCGTAATATATTGTACTGTTAGCCAGTAAAAGCACGGTCCATATGGGGAAGAATAAAAATGAGTTATGATTTAGGGGCTGGATCGTTCAGACTGGGCCGCTATGGAAAGTGAGAAATATTGTTTTAACGCAGCGAATATATCGGCAAAGGCCTCACAGAAGAACAAAAAAATGTAAAACGATATTTTAGAATTTTATCTTGGCTCTGAGGAATATTTAGAACGCCATCTCAAGGGCTTTTGGCCTTTTTAGGCCGCTCTCGAGCTCCTCATTTGAAGAGTATGGGGATTAACTATGTTTTTCTTTGGCTATGAAATATAAATTATACAGGTTTATGTATAAAATTTCACTCGCTTTACCGGGACATTTCACAAGTAAGTTGATTATCAACTACCGTGTCTTAATCTATAAATGTTGGATCCCTCCTTTTGAAGTAATCTGCTTAAGACGCGTCGGTTGCAATGTAAAAGTTAGCAACCGAATTACTGCTTCCCGTGTTTGGAGCGCTAATTCTGCAATTGACGCAATATTTGCCATAAGCGGGAAATTAAATTGTTTTCGAACCACGTTTGCAACAGTTAGTTGGACAATTCGTTCTAGAGAATTAACTGCCATCTAAATTTTAGCTTTGTTATATTTGGAAGTAAAGTACTAAACGTAGAACTAAAGTGTCAATATTTTTTTCAAAATGTTTTGGCAACGCGGGGTTTGATGCTTAAAACGATACAACGTTGGTGAGGAAAATGAAGAGGAACGTTTTTTAACCCCAAAAAATTAAACAATAAGAGCATAGATGCCGAAAATATGAAACTTAACAAATCGCCAGATGCTGGGAGAGCGAATAAATTTGTATGTATATGCTGCAACGCGGGTTTTATTTAATGCTGCATTTTCTGCAGTTTCCTGCATTTTTTTAAATTATTTAATTACATTTTTTAGATTGTGACTGAATTTCATTTACTAAATTTTCTTTATAGATAAGAGTTCCATTATCTATTATTTTGTTTGAAAAGATCGAAAGCAGAAAATTTTACATCGATATTTTGATCCAAAACTATTCAATTTATTTCCCAGATATTGAAATATGTTGATAATTTTTATTACCGAATACTTAAGTTTATTCACTGCTACTTTCGTTGGTATTTTTTCTTAAAGTGTGTATGTAATTTGTTAAATTAAGCTAAGAATCGCATTGGAAAGCATATTGTTCAGTTTAGTCGTATTTTCTCTCAATTTTCTGGCCTTCATTTTACTTCGGAGCTGCCGCTTAAACCAATTAACAAAGGGCACCTTTTCTGGTAACCTGGTAAGCGCAAAACAAAGCGGTTGAAGTATCGAAGAAGAAGACAAAGAAGTGCCGTCTTATACCTCATTGCAATTAATTGCTCATTTATTTGCTGTTTATGCTAAGCACGTTGTTCAGTTTAGTTAACGTTTCTTGGCTTGATTTTCATATGGAAATGCCGTTAAAGCCAAAAAAAGTAACTTTTTCTGGTCAACGTGTGTTAAAATTTAAAAAAATCATAGAAAGTGTCGAATGTATGGCTGTAATTCAATTTCAATGAATTTCTCGTTTATTTACAAACCTTAATTCAAAAACTCTGAAATACTGTTCACCTCCAATAGCCACCTCTAAAAATCAATTTCCTTTCAACGTTTTAACCTATTTTTTTACGACATGAGAAACCAAATCTCTATAGCTTTATTCTTTTCGACACCTGCGGTTATTTCTATGGTTTTATAATTTTTTCTGCACTTTTTCACTTGCTGTGTCAATTTCGTATTTTGCTCGTCGAGTTGTCGAGTTTTCAACTTCCAACATCTATTTTTATATTTACTAAGCACCGGTTTTCACTATTCACGTATCTTATTTTAATAACTCCTCTATAGTTTGATGAACTTTACTTTAACAAGCATTCCCATTTTCATTGGTCTTTACTTTTCTCGATCTGCTTTTACTATTTTCAGTTTTCTTACTTTTATTTTAAGCATTTTTCTACCGTTCCCATCATTTTTTACGTACGCAACAATATCCTTATTCTTAAAAGTATTCTATCCATGTTGTAAATCTACATGATTTAGCGACGTTTTGCTAGAAATGTTTGATAAAGTTATATTTATACATCTACCCTTAGTTCCTTTTATTAATATTTATTTGCTAGTTTTAATTTTTTTCAATTTTTTGTCGTGTGAAATTTATAAAAGGTCTTGCCTAAAACTTTTGTAATTAACGATACCTTCTTATTATACTCTAGATTTTACGGATGATTTCACAAGTCTATCAATAAATCAACTAAAATCGACAGGTATTTCAAAATTAAAATATTTTCAATAATACCTCTTCAGATGTAGATCGCGTTCCAGATTTTCCAGAGTCTACGCAGAGTTTGCAACTTTTAAAGATTGCTACTGAATGTTTGTAATTTGAAAAAAAGTTGCTATTGTTATGTTATTCTAATTTTTCGGTTCTTCTTTGTTATTTTCGCTGACGATTGGATTTACCTCGGTGCTATTTTTGAATGTATCTCATAAAACGACACATAAAAGCATTAAAAAAATGTAATTAAAAAAATTGCAAGGCGTCAGACTCAGTTTTGCTATAAAACTATGCTAATATCAAAAGAGGTTGGTCTTTTAGGCCACTGTGGAAAACAATTTCGGCCTTAAATCCCGAATAACTCACCAGCTTCAAACTGAGCCAAGTTCCATGTTTTATCTGGGTGCTTACACACATTTACATTCAAAAGCCACCGAAAGTCCCTTTTTTTGCTGAAATGCGACTTCCATTAATATAATGACGAAAACAAGCAAATTTTGTTTTAGCAGATAGTCAAGAAATCCATGCGGGAAAAGCGCATTGCATTCGAATAACAAATGTGTTGTGTTTCAGGATTCGGAGCTCTGCATTGCTCTGGCGTCCGCTCTACATTATGTCCGCCTCTGTGTGTTTTCATGGATGCTGCTTATGACCCACAATATGTACATGCAGTACAAAACTGGCCTTCATCTTGTTCCAATTACGGACACAAATATTAGCCGGAATTTTATAAGGTGAGTCGCGAAAATTAAAGCAAATTGATTGCTTAGCATGTCTTAAATATACGACCCAGTTAAAAAAAAAACGCTTTAACGAACAACATAAAGTTTTAATTAATTTCAAAATTCAGATTTACCCTGGCAATTAATTCAGTATTCATAGCACGATCCGAACTTGAGCCCCAATAAAAAAGTTAATTGGAATACCAAATAAGTCTTGAAAGCATTTTTTTGCTGAAATTCAATTTTTACAAAGTTTACCGTTTAATGTTCGCATTAAAACCGCCTTGTGAAATGCTAATTAAATATCAACCACCGATCAAAGCCATGCTTTTACACAGGATTAAAATGACACATTTTAAAAGCTATTTTCGCACAAGGAACTCGATCAAGTAAATCCACGGTCTAAATAATTGATTGCTGGGAATCTGTATTTTATTTCCCAAAAATTAAAATAAAAATTCGATCAATTTATGATTTAATCTAGTGTAATTAAGTCTCCCGGGGGTAAATCGAACAACCTCATTGTAATTTCAGTCAAGGTAAGGCAATGCCATTGATTCGTCTGGAATCGAGGGACCCATTAATGAAATTTTATAGAGGACAAGACCGAGACGCTTTCAGTTTTTAAAGTGGGTGTTAATATTTAATGAACTTCCATTTCAGAGTTCATTTGTGCCGAACGATGAATATCATTGTCTGTCATAAGAATAAGCTTAGAGTTACTCTAATAAAATAATGAAAATTGGCTTCAAAATTCAAAGAGATATTGAGCATATTTCAGGAATAGTCAAAGCTGATTCTGTGAGAGTTTGCCTTTGCTATATGCATGTAAGGGTAAAATATATTGTCAACTAATCAGTCCGGACTGATGAAAAGCAGAATGTTTTTTTTATTGCTGCGGTAGTAGTATTTTTAGTCCTCCCGTAGGTAGATGGTGGATGTTTGACGGGCGCTAAGACTTATTTGCTTGGTAATAGCGATAAAAGGGCTTTTGATGAGCTAATTTGCAGTAATTTTGTATTAGTTTGGACTCTTTAGCACCATTGTGCTGTGGTCTTTAGCTCCTGCGGCATCAATGTGTCGAAAATTTCCTTGTACAACAATTGCGATATCATCCGCATATCCCAATGCTTCTTAAAAATCCCTGCTCTGTAAAGTCGCCATGCGTCGGTTGATGAAATTAATTCGCACTATGGTGCGGAATGAACCTTATCTATTCATTGTGTTGGAAGCTCAAGAAGCATTGCAGAAGAAAATATAACTAAATGTGCATGAGCAAATATTAATAGAATTAATTGCAATAGAAATTTACATTGTTGAGTTTCAAGTGGTTGTATTGTTTCGAACTTCAGTTTTTAGACAAGTTAAAATAGTTCTTAACTTTGAGTGAATATAAATTTTTATTGACTTCGGCAAAGTTGGCGCAAATTTTTTGCCGCTTTTTTCGTGTCGATTCAAGATCAATTTGATCTACAGAATTCGTTTGTCTACCGTCGGATAGAGAAGAGGAAATTATCAATTAGGAAGAACTTTTAGGAAACTGGACACCAAACATGTATTTCAGGTAAAAAAATTGAAAAAACAACTTATTGATTATAGCATTGCCTAAGTCGATAATTTTCATATAGATATCACATTGTAATAAATCACAGATGATTCGGAAAACTTTGGAAATTTGCAATTTTTACGTGGAATTTATTTCGTTAGCTATAACATTCTCTGGCTCACTACTATTTTCGTCACTTTCCAACACATCATATTCCTCTATACTTGCCTTTCGCTGAACTATCAGAGCAAACCTGGAATAATCAGTGTTAAACCCGTGAAACTTACTAAGAACTCAGGATCTTACATGAATATGATCGAGCAACCAAAGACAATACCAGCTGTAACAAAATTGTATAATCCTGCGTCTGTATTGATAGTCGCATTATACAAGGCAGTATATCCGATCGAGCTCAATGGGTTCAAAACGTTTGAGCCAATGTTGAAAGCCGATAGGATTTTCGCTACTTCTTCTTCGTGTACTAGTTTGGAGATCAGAGACCTCATTAGGGCACCCTGGCCATATGAGGGCAAATTTAAAATTGCCCCTGTAAAATTAATCTAATTATTACAGCAACTAAACACAGGACACTCATTTCTTGGACTTTCGCATTTTCTTACCTAGATATACCTGCCAGTCCTTTAGAGCCAAACCAAGTGTAATTAGGGAAACCACTGAAAACAGCGAGCCAACAAAAATCAGCACAGTTTCCTTAATTTTTAGCACTGTGTGAAACAAATACACTACAACAGCGGTGGCTGAAACCAGACATATTTATCACATTTATTCAAATTTCTATTTTTTCCGCTCTTACCAAATAAGCCCAATATATTAACAACAGTTCCATACCAAGTGAACTTGGTCAATGTCCACTGTAACTTTTCCCGAACGAAAAAGAAAAATAACTGCCCCGATCCAGTCGAGGTGAATCCCAGAAGCATGGAAATCATTATAAGGAGTAGGAGAGTGCGTTTCGAGCCCTCTCTTTGAATAAAGGGAGTTTTGAGCATTTGGATAATGTTCGATTTGCTGAAAATCCCTGCAATCGGGTTCTGAAACAAGCCGGCAGTTAATGAATCAAATTAAAAATACACACAGTTGCTTAAGAAACTTACTTTAGTTTCACGCTCCGGAAGAGATTCGGGAACGAAAAATATGGCATACCCCAACGCAACAAGTTGGCAAGCTGTTGCAATGCAATACACTATGAAATAGTTGGTAGCAATCAAAATGTAGGAACTGGAAGTGTTGCCTATTAAAGATGCCAAGGCCATCACCACATCCAGAATTCCCATCCTACACAAATCAACGTGTTAAGTTAGAAATATGAATGAATTGGTGGAATGAAACCTTAGGCCTCTTTCTTCTGGTGTGGTTGAGTCCGATAAATAGGCGGATACAACAGTGAAAAAACTGACACCACCTCCAGTTAGGATAATAGGAACTGATATGACTAGCATGAACCAAGGAGTTAAAGTATCTACAGCCGCAAATACTATATGGAGCAGTAAGGAAATGGTACCACCTAGAATTCCACAGATTTTGCAAATGTTTTTCGCCGCACTTTCACTGCTCCATACAAACCTACAAATGCGACTACAATGACAGGCTTTCTACCGAATCGGTCACTCCATGGAGCCACAACTAGACAAAGAACCGATCCAAAAGCAGACTCAACTATGGTTCGTACTAGTTGAATATACGTGGCCGTTGGCTCTACTAGCTTTTCCAAAGTTTCCGTCGCATTATCATTGACAAACCCCAACTTTGCACAATTCGATTGATTATGGTGCAAAAGAACATAGCATGTTCTATAAATTAGAAGGTTGCTATTAACACTGACTGAAAGCAACACAGATAATTTTTTAGTCAGATTTTAAGCTGCAGACTTACCTGTTAACATAAAAGCCAATGCGGAGAAAAACACCGGAATCTCTAAACTGAGCTTGAAACCCATTTCTGCCAGTTCAACCGACGGCAGTTTGACCAAGATTTACTTTTTGCTACAATTTTCAAACCCATAGAGAAAATTACACATAAAATAGTTGAAACATTAAAACATGGTTCTGGTTAGTGTGAAAGATAACAGGCGAAGCATGTCCTTTTATAATAATAGTTATTTCATAACAATGATAACAAAAGGATTTTTGAATTCAAATGGATTTGAAAATCTGAGGTTTTTGCATGACTAGGAGCTGACTGGGGGGAGGTGGAATTTTTTATTAATTTTTTAGCCCTTTAGATCAAAAGCGTCGTTGTTTGCGTAAAGTTACTTCTGTGAAGCTTATAGACTTGCAGATTTCCTGCTCCGTACTTGCACTGCTAATTCCAAAAATTTCATTATTATTTGTTGCACATAGTCAAAGTAAAACTGAAATGCTATTTTAGGACAATCATTTAATGATATGAAAATTCATGCCAACTTTTTATCTTATTATTTTAAGCAAATGCGTAGAAATGTTTGATATTTCCACTTATCATATTTCGCGGTTAGCTCTCTAGTCCATATGTTTTCGAGCATATTTTGCCATTTCGTACAGATAGTGAGACTTTATACTTTGCTATTTCAGAATCATTTTTGCCTCTATTAGACTGTTTGGGTTGTTTTTATTTCATATTTTTCATATTATTGGTCTAAACTTTCTTTACTTTCCACAACTGGCCAACACTTAAATACTATAATAAATAAATAGCTAAAAATGCCTACTAATTTGGATTGAAACCCATACTGCTAAAAACCCAACGAATTTTAAGCTCATCCATACAATTTTATGGATATATAATTTATCATCTACTATTGAACAATTTGAATTCGTTCCAACAAATATTTCA